CCTCGTACCGGTAGTCGAAGTGTAGGGCGACTCCCCACTAGATGGAGTGACGACCTGGTAAGACATGCAGGAAGTCGATGGATGCAGGTGGCTCAGGACTGTGCTTTGTGGCATACCTTGGGGGAGCCCTATGTTCAGGAGTGGACTTGTGAAGGGCTGTAATGATGATGATGATGATGTATAAACTCGTGAAAGTATACGACATTCAATTTAGTAAGCTAATACTAAAATATTTTATGAGTAATCCTAGCGAATAGTGTAGCGCCAACGGGATATATCATCTGACGTCACGTCATATATGACGATCAGTGCTAGAAATGAAGTAGAAATATATTTCGTAACGTGTTAGTGGCTTAATAATCGTCATTAAAGTAATCGACACTGAATTGTATTGAAACATTTGAAAAAAAAACATCAGTCACTAAAAGCAACATTCCTCCACTAAAAGGTAAAAAAAGGTGTTGAAACCATCGGTTTTAGTGGAAAATCAATTAAGTTGGCCACACTACAGAGCCAACCATGCCTAGAACCTGGACCAGTCTTTCGCAATGTGGGCGATAACGCTCCCTTGTGGGTGTTGGAGACCTAGAGGGGAGTAAGGGGCCCAGAAAAAAATGGGGGGGCGTTGGCGTGCTTTAAGGGAGCGATGGTTGATTTATATTTTCATGTAGATACTTTATATTTTAAAATTTACTAAAACTAATACCTACCCACTACTCAATATCGAATAATTAGTATATTTCTGCCCTGTATGATGCTATATAAACAAGAAATTCTTAACATAGATTTCGTAGGATAGCCCGTACTCCGTACGCAATCAAGTTGTAACAATTTTTTGTCGAATAACGCTATTGGTGCAATCCGATGACAATCGGCTGGTTCGTCGATATTTGGATGGCCAATTTCAAGATGTCCCCAAGTCACTGACCTCTATATATACAAGTACGCTGGACTGGCTATACCATACAAAATGACTGTGCCAATTTGAAGCGCCGCTAAAGGATGTCTTGAAAAATAAAATTGACATAATATGCCAAAGTCTGCTGTCTTATTTATATTGTCATATTTAAAAAGTCTGTATTTTGAACTTTTAAACTAAAAAACGAAAGTATTTTATATTGTTTGATTGTGTATAATATTAGTTACATATTAAGAATTATTTTTAATAATAATGGAAGTAAGCGTAATCTGTAAAACTCGTTACCAAAAAGGAAGCATTTGCAGCTAATATTAAACAAATTAAAACTATTTGATAATATAAGTACTTAAAAATTTGTTACTTATCTTAATATCATATATACCAACATGTTTGGCTGTATATTACCAGTATATTACTGAGTTTTGATAAACGATAACATTCAATAGGGTTGTCGAGCTCCTTGTCTATAATACTTATCGATGTTCTTTCCTACCTATATCTGTTAACAAGCAAAGTCGTCAACAACAGATGATTATCAAATGTTTATTAATTAACAGGTTTCCAACAGAACCTAAACTAAAACTATGGCTTAAAAGCATAAATATTGTGATTTGGCGTCCGAAACAAAATGATTATATTTGTTCCAAACATTTCACAGACGACTGTTTTATTAGACATGAGAACTGCACCACTTTGAAAAAGTGCAGTATACCGACAATATTTTTTGGTAGTATCAGTAAAAGTAAGTTTAAAAGTATTAGATTATTATTTGGAATTTTTTTATTTCTTCTTTCCTCATTTTCCACCAAAATCAAGGGCCATAGCCAAGTGACGAAAGGTCGCCTGTTGATGTCGAGCCTCGTTGGATGTAGTTGAGGTGGAGTAGTAAGGGAAGAAGAGTGTTGGTATGGCAATTGGCGATGCGCCACTCTACTATCTTTCGTGACTTTAGTGAGGCTGCACCACTTGATGTTTCCAAGTGCTCGTTTTTCCATGGCTCCATTCACATATCGGGCTCGTGGAATCCGTAGTGCGGGTGGAGTTAGAGGCCGCGAAGAACAGTATGGCTTGTATTTCTGGTACGCCTTATCTGAGAAAGAAAACGGGGAAGGAGAAGTCAGCAACTAAGGAGGGGCTGCCATTGGGCGGCTGGCACGAGAGGCCGAGAGGGGCCGCGGATGTGCATGAAAGCGTTTCCGTGGCCCTGCGAATTTGCGGCGGAGGTAGAACACCATGGGGTTTTAGTAAGTGCGATCTAGAGATTTAATTCTATCTCAATTGCAGGCATGTAATAGTATGAGTACATATTTGTGCTATTTGCTGTAGAGACTACTGGTCCGTAGGGTGCACCTGCGGTGTAGTTTCTAAAAAACTGTATCTGCGACTGATCATCACTGCTGGTAATAAGAAGTTGTTTAGTTTGTTGCTTCCTCGCTTGAAGGCTAATTATAGCCATTCAGAGAGGACACGTAGCCAGCATTCTTGGGACGATACCACGGAAAGTAAGACTGTATGATGATTTCGGTTATTGTAATTTTAATTTCGAAAATGACGTTGTTAATAACTGATAACTATGTAATTCAAAGTTTATTTTTTTATATTATCTTGCTAGCTCGTACCCGCCGCATTGCTTCCGCAGAAGAAATAATTGTGGAAATATCGTTAAAAATGTGGAACATTCCTAAATGTGGTGTGGAATGTGGTATCATTCCTAAATATTGTATAATTAGGAATGATAATACAACCATTGAAATATAATGATAGGTATATAACTTTCTATAACTTTCAAATAAATAGTAAGCATAATACGCACGCCACTTAGTGTCAGTTACTTGTACCATGCACATAACCTTCGCACAAGTGCAACCAATAAGTTGACTAAGTTTTAACGCAATCTGATGAATAGTATGGCATCGTAGAAAGTACGAACAAAAATAAATTTTTATATAGTATAAAATATTTTACTGTTTATATACAGACCTGTAGTTGATTAGAATAAGCGTTATTATAGCAGCTGATTTGTTTTTCTTTATAATACTAGAACTAAATGAACTGTTGACAATAAATTATTTTAGAAATTATGTTTTTTATTTTTATTTCGTGTAGATAGTTTAATCTTAATAATTTTTTTAGTTGAATGGTCTAAGGTCTACGATGGCTATCCGAGTATAGAACCAGAGTACAAAACTAATCAAAATGTAGAGATGTGTAAGACAGGGTGACATAATATCCCCGAAATACTTTACCACTGCATTGGAAGACGTCTTCAAGCTACTGGACTGGAAAGGATACGGTTATGGAGTGTAGAAGTAAGGAGTACCAACTCCCATAGTAGAACAGTTGAAAAAGTGGCCATCTGTAAGGAGTAAATAACAGCTCAAAAACTCTCCACAACAGCGCTGGAGTAGCTACTGCGATAAAGTGAACTTTAAGTGTGGTGCTAAACTGCTCAGTAGCTCTAAAATCTAAAATAATTTTATTTAGTAAATATAACCTCGAAAAATTCGTCTATCCCACTAATATTTTTCGGTGCGTTCTTTAAAATTTACCTCGTAGTTATAGTGGCGTCAACCATATTTAATGATTTTTATGGACACTTTTTAATACACAGTCTGTACTCCTTACTTCTACACTCCATAGATACGGTATTAACGTCAATGGCATGTACGTCACTCACCTTCGATTTGTCGACAACATAGTCCTTATGGCAGAATCGCTGAAGGACCTACATACTATGTTCAATAAACTCAATAGTGTCTCTCAACGGATAGGTCTTAAGATGAACATGGACCTATGCCGGTGGTTTTTGTGAGCACTTAGCTGAAGTTGTTGACGAGTATTTCTACTTGGGACAAATCGTCCGACGGGTAGATAAGTTCAACTTCGACCGACAGGTCAATCGACGGATTTAACTCGGCTGGGCAGCGTTAGAGAAATTACAACACATCTTCTCGTCAGGAATACCTCAAAACTAGATTGTACAACCAGTCCGTGTTGCCAGTGATGACCTATGGATCTGAGACGAGGTCTTTCACTGCTGGCCGTTGAAGAAGCTCGAAGTCACTCAGCGAGCTATGAAGAGGGCTATGCTCAGGGGTTCAAACCTAGGAATGAGGATGTCTGCAGCAGAACCAGAGTGACTGATATCGACGAATGGGTTAGTACGCTGAAGTGGAAATTGATCGGCCATATAGCTCGAAGAACCGAATACCGATGGGGAAAAAAGGTTCTCGAGTGGCAGCCCCGTACCGGCAGGTGAAGTGTAGGACGTTCCCCACTTGATGGAGTCAAAACCTGGTAAGACATGCAGGAAGTTGATGAATTCAGATAGCTCAGGACCGTGCTTTGTGGCATTCCTTGGGGGAAGCCTATTTTCAGCAGTAGACTTGTGAATGGTTTTAATGATGATGAATGATAATGGCGTTACATTAATATGATACATAAATAGAATGGACGTTACGGGTAGAGTCCATCTATCCATAGAGTCCTTTCTATTTATTTAGGTATAGGTAGGGTATAGAATTTTTATCGATATAATTTGATACACTGTCTTATCCCTATTATTAGTTCCGTGGACGTGCACTTCTGCTGTCAGCGCCAAAATGGCAGAAATCAAATCGCTTCATCATGTCACGGTTTATAGCCAGTCCAGTGTACTTGTATATATAGAGGTCAGTGCCCCAATCCACTTAGGGACTTTATGTACTGGCAACACCATAATAAATAACAGCTCATTATCTATGGTTCTGTCTATTTGAGACATTTGTAACAAGTTCCTAAGTGGTAGTTTTAAAATATATTTTATGCCCTAAGTCCACGTGATTCAGTTCAAGAAGTCCCTTAGTCCCAATAACTCTAATTTTAGTTCTAAATGTCACTAAGTCCTTTTTACTGTCACACCATATCATTATTTGAAAAAATAACGCTCTTTCCTTTTGTTTAACAGTATTTTTTTTCTATTTTTTCGGAATGTTTTGTTGTTGTACTCTGAAAATATATTGTAAAATATTAAAATGGAGTTTGAAGACAAGCTGGCTAAGTACCTGTTGATTGCACATCGTTTTATTCTATAAAATCAATGATGGGACCTAATTACATTTTTGCCTTGTTTCTCAGACTTTTACAAGTTTCTGGATTGTTAGAGTTTTCTAACGATGCTGTTTTGAAGGAAGAACACCAAGAAAATGTCAGGTTCGTACATAATAATATGTATGTAAGTACTTAAAATATAATATTAGGTTATATGAAGTCAGTTAAAAATTAATATTTTGATTACATACCTACCTTGTTTCTAGTTGGATTTTTTATGTATATTTTTTCCTTTGGTTTATATAATCAATATTATCTTTTAGTTTACATGCTAGTGAGAATACTGCGATAGATGAGATAGAAATAAATATGATTTTAAACAAGCAGCGCCCATCCTACTGAGGAGCAGAGGTAAATATTTTTATTTTTATCATGATAACCCGTAATACACAAAAACGTACTAAAAATACAATTGGAAGAAAAATATTATGCCATCTTGTGGAGGGCCTGCCCACGCTGCAGTCCAACAGTGGACCGTCTTTTGGCTATTAAGATGATAAATATTACGCCAGAATCTTTGAAGTTGTCTTGTTTACTTTCTTGTTTTTTGCTCATGCTTAGCTTTGGTTTATAAAAAACATGTTACTTTGTGGAGGGCCTGCTCACACTGCAGTCCAGCAGTGGAAGTCTTTTGGCTACTAAGATGATAAACATTATGCCAAAAAGTTCTCTTCTTTACTTTCTTGTTTTTTGTTCATGCTTAGCTTTGGTTTATAAAAAAAACATGTCACTTTGTGGAGGGCCTGCTCACGCTGCAGTCCAGCAGTGAACGTCTTTTGGCTGATATGATGAGAAACATTATGCCAGAATCTTTAAAATTGTCTTGTTTACTTTCTTGTTTTTGCTCATGCTTGGCTTTGGTTTATAGATTGCATGAAGATGAGACAGAAGTGGCTGCAAAAACAGTCGCTTTGGTTGAATCTGCAAATAACATTGATTATGGTGACAGTAATGACAGTACTTCTATATTAGTTCTGGCACAAAATAATGGGACCGAAGACAGATTCCTTAGTTTCGAAACGGGGCTTGAAAACAATGTTGAAAACTATACATTAAACTCTGAAACCGGATTGTTAGAGCCCCCTCCACTTCAAACTGGAAGAGAAGAACAACCTAATGACGATGTTGTAAACTATGTATTGAACCCAGAAACCGGATTGTTAGAGCCAGATCAACTTCAAACTGGAAGAGAAGTATTACATCATCTTATTAACCCTGTGACTGGAGTTTTAGAAGAAGTTAAAGATGTACAGGAAAATGAAAGTGCCAATGATTTAAAAATCGGAAAAAAGAGGAAACGAAACCCTACAAAGTGGGAGAAAAACAAAAAAATTAAGAACAATTTGAAGAATAATGAAATGCGGCCCATTCCAAACTGCAGGTGCAAATGTAAGGAAAAAATTAATGATAATGAATGCAGAACACTTTTTAGCTCCTTCATCAACCTTTCTACACCAAACAAAAAATTTATTTGCATGTCTTTTGGATGCTGTTCCAAAAATATATAGACCACGGAAAACAAAATGAGCTCAAAAGAAGCCAAAAACCGGAGAGTTTTTAAATATTGTATAAGTGTGAGTAATAAGTCAATAATTGTTTGCCAACAAGCTTTTCTAGCCATACATGGTATTAAAAGGGACAGATTGAAACGAAAAATACAGCACAAATAAAAAGACATACAGGATGGAAGAGGCAGGCACGCAAATCATCCAACTTGTGACAGCAATACAATGCATAAAATTCATGAATTTCTCATTAATCTTCCGTCAAGAGAATCGCATTATTCCAGATCATCTAATAAACATAGTAAATTTTTAGATTCCAATCTTACCATTGCCTTGTTACACCGTAAATTTTTGACTGATTATCCAGAAAATCCTATAACCTACGAAACATTTAGAGAAGAGTTCAATACTGATTACTGTGACAGCTTCAGACAGCCTCGTAAAGACATTTGCCATACTTGCGAAAAACTGAAAGTCAATATAGATGCTGCAGAAGCCAATAATAACGAAGAAGAAAAAACAAGATTGCAGAAAGAAAAAGAATTGCACTTGAGAAAGGCAGAAGTATTTTTGGAAAGATTGACCAATGCTGAAAAAGAAAAAGATGCAATGAAATTGGCACTCTGTATTGATTTTCAGAAAACCTTACCGTTACCCGTGACAAATGTGGGTGACGAATATTATTTACGCCAGTTGTGGATGCATAACTTTGGGATCCACAATTTAACTGATAATACACCTACTATGTATTTGTACACCGAAAACTATGCCTTAAAAGGGCCAAACAAAGTAATTTCAGCATTATCAGATTTTATCGCTACAAATAAAAAGCCTCCTCAAACAAAACTTGAAATATATAGTGATAACTGTTACTGGTAAAACAAGAATAAATATGTGTTTGCATTTTTAGATAACTTGTGTGCCCTCGGCAAATTCGAAACGGCTTCTACATATTTCCCAATACCCGGGCACTCCATGATGCCCATCGACAGAGATTTTGCGTTGATCGAAAGAAAAAGAATAAAATGTGAAAAAATATATACTCCTGCAAAAATACATATAAATTCAACATTGTATTCCTGCAGAGAAACCTAAGCGAAAACTCAGCTGCGAGGGTTGTTCAAGTTCAAGACTATAAAAGATTGTTCACTGGGCGCGTAAGAGCTTCAACTCCAGGAATATCAATCAACCTGTCGGCAGGTAATGTTTAGAAAAAATGGAAAGCCTGAAATGACACAATCTATGATGAGTGAAAACTTAAATCGTTTTGCACTATACCGAACTGGAGTTTCAAGAATTTTAAGAGAAATGCCAGTCTATTGCTATGATGGCCAAATAAAGCTTAAAGAAGCTAAATAGAGAGATATAAAAAAGCTTTTGGAATATGTACCCGAACATTTAAGGAATTTTTACACAGAAATAATCGAAAGTAACGAATATGGTGATCACGCTGCTGAAGATGTTGCTGATGAAATGGAACAGTTTTTCATTTGGTGGGTTTTTAGTTTATAAGCACAATATTATTAAGTAAGTAAGATTGTGATCTTCATTTTATTGGTCAATTAAAAAAATTATAAATAATTTACGGTATTTTATTATAAAGTATCAAGATAACTTACTTATAAAGTTTGAAGACTGGTTACTCCGAGTTAATTTTTCTCTCAGAAAACCTAAGTCCAACTCCCAGTTTATGAATGTCACTAAGTCCAGTATAAAATCCCTAAGTCCAGTATAAAAAGCCCTAAGTCCAAGATTTTTATGACCTAAGTCCATGAAACTTATTACGATTTTCGTAAACAAAATTAAAAAGTTTATATTTAATTTTAAATGTATACGAAATAGACCTTACGGCAAACATTTTGGTGTCACAGATATATTTTTATTCCTTAAGGTAGCATTTCAAAAGCAAAATTAAAAACTATCTTTGCATTTTCTCACGGACTTAGGGACATCTTGAAATGGGCCATCCATTTGTTTTAACTTGCTCAGAACGATTGAGTGTCGAAAGTAATATACGAGTTGGTGCGTGTTTGTCTGATTCCTGTCGGTGCGTGCATTTCATTAATCTATGGCGTCCTCTAATAATCTGTGGCTTGATGTTGGTCTTGGTATTATTTTGTCTTTGGTTACTTCCATGATTACTTCCTTTTCTAGTGAGCTGTCAGCGTTTTCGGAACGTTTTCAGACTTGCTTATTAAATCCAAAGTAATCTGCTAGGATTTATTTTAATTATAAGCGATAAATTCGTAATATCATTTGACAATGCCGCCTAAGTTCGATCCAAACGAAATTAAAATCGGTAAGACTAATGTGTGTTATTTTTGATATATCATGTGCGATTATTTGGAAGTGATTTAAAAATTCATATATTTTTTTTTAGTTAACTTGAGATGTGTTGGCGGTGAAATTGGTGCTACATCGTCGTTGGCTCCTAAAATTGGTCCTCTTGGTCTCGTGAGTTTATTATTTTGTCTATATCATAACCTTACAGTTTTGCGTGGCGGTCAGTTGTGTTTATTACTATTTTTTCGGTAACAAGATAAAAATAATTAGTTTTAATTCATTCTAAACGAAATATTAATCAATGCTATATTATATCAATTAATTTGATAACTGTCTTCTTACTTACGATCCTGGGGGGGGCCACCCTACCAGGCGCGTCCTTCCGGGTGGCGGATGGAAGGAACCCGCGACTCAGGATTGGGCTTGCCCTTTCCCTGTCGCGGCTACTCCGAATGTCCAATAAGGAGTCGCGGACCAGGCCATAAGACTGCCGCGCAACAAAAAATATAATTATTGAAGAAGGTCCTATCGCTGTGCTTTGTTAACTTTGTTTATTTTATTCGCATATTTAACATATTTATCTAAGTTGGCAATAAATATTATTTATTGGAGGTCATCATAATCTGAATGTTTAATCTTGTATGCTTCAGTCTCCCAAAAAGGTCGGTGACGACATTGCCAAGGCTACAGGTGACTGGAAGGGTCTGAAAATTACGGTTCAACTTATTGTGCAAAACAGGCAAGCACAAATATCTGTTGTTCCATCAGCTGCAGCTCTTATCATCAGAGCTCTAAAGGAGCCACCCCGTGACAGAAAGAAGCAAAAGAATAGTTAGTAGTTTATTATTATTATATATTATTCAATCATTTTCTGCTATGACATCATGAATATTTTTATTTAATCTCTGCACTGTTTGTCTTATAAAGAGAACATGTATTATGTTATTATAGAATGGCCTGAATCGTGAATATGAATATACTGTTGAAATTGGTTATACTGGCATTTTAATCATTAGACTAAAGGTGCTATATTTATAATTTTTTTATAGAAGAATACTAGTTATGCTATGAGAATTACAAATACTATTCTAAGTAAGCTGAAAATGATTGTGTTAATAGTTTACAACAGTAGTCAAATAGTAGATTCAAGCCCACAAGAGTGTATCCAGTCCACACTCCCATTAGGTGTGTTTAATTGATGATTTTGCTGTACCCTAGCCATTATCTTGAAATAACTGAAACTGAGCAATATTAGTATATCTATTTTTAACAATAAAAAATTTAATCAACCATTATTTTAAGAATAAGCATCAAAAAGTCTAAAGTATATCCATATACTATAGTATCCAAACTTAAAGAACTTCTTAAAACCCTTTAATAGAACCATGTATGAATAGGAATTAAAAAATACAATTTTAATTATTTGATCAATTAACTAGTTTGCCAAATATCACAGAAACCAGTGCAATATGTTTAATGATAAAGAATATTAATTTATGAGCGGATAAGTAACACTAGTAGCAAGTCCAGAATTTGTTGAAAGGTTGTTTCTTGCTAGCCAAACTGACAGACTGATATCAGACTGCATGTGTGCAGATGGCATGTTTAACTACATGCAGTGGTGGCTAACTACATTGACTGCAGTTGTTTGTGTTGAATGCGACAGAAAATGATATGCATGTGATTCCATGTTTTTAAGCATTTGGTCATGTGCAATTAATAAATAAATGCTAGTAAAGAGTATAAACATCTTTTGACAAGGGTATTTCGAATAAAAAGCACATTATAATCATAAAATTTTAGAATATAGAGTCTTGATGAGACACTGATTCTTTTAAAATATTATTTCATTGATCAAAAGCAGTAATCAATATACAGCATGTAGCATAACTGTATTGGAGGTAAAACTATAGACATCTGGTACTTGCGTGGGGTGGGTGCAAAAGGGGCCCCCTTTATTACCCTTCTTCCATGAAGAAATATATAGTTATGATTTTTTTTTAAACATAACCAAACTTTTTACACAAGAATATTGACCAAAAGTTACTTCAGCAACAGCTCCGGCGCTGTGGGAAGTGCAGCCCCCACCTGTCATAGCAAATCGCAGGAACCCATGCTCACCTCCACAGCTTTAGCTTATTGGTCGGTCATCTTCGGCGAGCACTCTCAGCTACTACAGCTCGCATGGTTGTCTGCAATTTGCTATGATGGGCGGGGATGCTCTCCCTCTGTGCCTACGGCTTTACAAAACACTAGGGGTAGGGCAGACAAGACAACTTGGAGTCCGGGCGTGCGATTCAGTTTTGGAACAGATTCAACCAATCTTATCCATAAAGTTAGGTTGCCCTAAACTCTGCTTTGATAGTGATAAATGAAACAATGTAATGTGCATTTTTATAATTTTAGAAAAAAAAAACAAATTGACATATTATTTGCATTTCGTTATATGCCATTTTTAGCAGAATTTATTTTTATCATAATTCAAAACGCATTTCTGACATCAAAAAACAGTCTAATGGGTTCAAGCCTACCCCTTAACAAGCCTCCTAGACTAAAACATTAAAATCAAGTACCAGTGTCTGAAGCCAACCCGTAATGGATTTCATGCTGCTGCTCCTTTCTGTTTTTAGGCCAATAACAATAAGGGAAGGAATATAATATGTGCTTTTATTTCTAAATCCAGTTTTACGTACTTAGCTTCTGAGAGGTATTTAGACAAATCCAATTGCAAATAACTGCATACAGTTAAATATGACTTCGCACATGCAATCTGTCCCATTTTCATTAAAGATACAGTTCTGGGAGGATTTTAATCTATTAAAATTATATTGTCCTTAACTCATAAAAACGTATATAGAGAGGAACATATATTATAATGTAAAAAAACTAATAAACATTTAGTTATGTTAGCTTTCATACATAGAATAAGCAAGTGCTTTTGCCTTAGCCTGTTCTATAATCGTTAATTATAACATTATAATACTGCTAATTCAAATAAATTTGGCCCAAATAAAATTAACATAATCATCACACAATAACGCTTTAACATTTTCTTTAACTCTTATTTTTTCAGTCAAACACAATGGCAATATAACACTTGAGGATGTAATTGGCATTGCTAAAATCATGCGACCACGTTCAATGGCTCGAGAGTTGTCTGGGACAGTAAAGGAGATTCTTGGCACAGCACAATCTGTTGGCTGCACTATTGATGGCAGGCCACCACACAACATTATTGATGATATCAACAGTGGAGCTATTACTATAGATGAATAAATGAATATATTACAAGTTTAAATATGGTTTGTTTTGCTCATTCACGAAAAAACGTTACATAAATACTTCAGTGGTTTGAAAAAATCTGCTATTGTTTAATGTCCCCTCATAAGTTATTGAATAATGATCAATTTTTGTATTAAGTTCAGCAAATTTATTAGATGAAAGTATTTTGTTCATAATTCTACATCATATCATTACAGCCCTTCACAAGTCCACTGCTGAACATAGACCTGTCCCCAAAGAATGCCATAGCACTGTCTCAAGTCACCTGCATCCATCGTACATATCACTCAATCTAGTGGGTGGCCACTCCGCAC